TTTGTTGTTAGTAGTAGTGGGGCACATGTATTGGGTCGTAACTGGTTAATAAGTGAGTATAAATCTAATTTTCGAGTTGTTAGTTTTCTACGGAATTCCGCTAGAGGGCGCATCCAAAATACCCGGATGACGAGCTGAGTGGGGTTGTTTTTATTGAAGTTCTATATTCTTACATGCGTAAATCAATAGATTGGAAAAGCAAAAAAGTCCCAGAACTCCGCAAATTTCTTCAGGATCGTGGTATAACTTGCAGCAATGTTCGTAAAGCTAAACTGTTTGAACTTGTTGAGTTAGCAAACGAGTTAAATGTTCGCCAAGAGTCAAACAATCGTCGTCGTACTGTAAAACACGAGTCGACGATAACTCTGGTAGATCCGTGTAACGTAAAAACTTGGCAAAAAAAACCTTCATACTTTGCCTTTGTTTGAAATAGCTGATATGTTCGCATATTTGTTGCATCGAAGTGACTGGACAACAGCCAGACTGAAAGAATATCGACTTATTAATGGTTACTTACTTCATAATTTCCGTAAAGCTTCATCATGTGCAGAATACAGAATTTAATTTCATTATGGCAGAGTGTATTCGGCAATGATCCATGAAGGAAAATCCTTACAAGCCATGGTTTATTATTAAATCAAACTCTAAAATAGTTTCTGGTGTTTGTAACTGTGTAATGTAAGTTTGATTTAATATTTTATTCACCGGGCGATCAGCACTGGCAGATGCAGTTATCATAAATGGACACACGTTTTTTTCCTTCCGTAGTTATTTTAACTTCAACTTCGCAAAAAAATGCCATGATAAGGATTCTGAACAAGAAGATCGATGTGGGAATCGGCAACGAGCGAATTTTTCATCAAATCCGGCTCAATATTTTCGTTTGCGCTCGTCTCGGGAAGCTGACAGAGTCTTCGTTTTTCAATCGATGTATAACTGCGGTTGAAAGACGGCTGTCTCCAGTTATTGAACTAAAAAAATACTGGCGCAGGATGGAAAATGCCGTGAACAAACCCGGGAATATAGTTTGGCGTCCACTCAGATTCCCAACGACGCATTCGAATCCACTGGCGTTGAAGTGTTGATTTCTTGGACGAAAGAAATGTATGAAAAGTTACGCCTTTCATCTCAGGATATTTCGCTGTTTTTTTCTTTTTAATCGAACCCAAGGAATAGTCTGGGGCATTACAATGCCAGTTAACCATTTTGACCAATTCTTGCAAAACGTTTGTAAAAAATAAGATTTCGGCAACAGTAACTACTAGTATATTGCTTGCAGCAGACGCCGCTCAAATTTCAACCCCACCACGAACGTTGAACGGACTGTCATCCGGGTACTTTGAGAACGCCCTCTATCGAATTTCGTGAGAAAAATAGTAACTCGGAAATTAGGAATTAAAACGCAATTCTATGCTAAATCACATTGTAATTGAGTTTAATTAAGCTCCAGGGGGGTGACAACCATTATTTTTATATATCGGGTTCACACAGTCTGTAGTAGAATTTGCAGGGTGGACGGGGTGTGTGGGTGGGTAATCATAGGAAAGATTAGTCTATAGAAGATTGCGCTCTACATAATAAACTTAGAGGCCATCTGAAGAATTCTTCGACTCATATTAGATTGAAAGATGCAATATGACTTGTTGTTCGATACTCCATACAAATCTGCTATAATTTATCACATACTAAAAATGTTGCGTTTGCAGGACACAGCAGTATTCGCTAGATAAATAACCAAAAACACTAATACGCATGTGTAGTGATTATTAATGTACGTACTGAGCAGAAGTTAGGGGTGTGCTACAAGAACGAAGTGTTCATTTCCTGATACTCGTATATCATTGCCTCATGCATTCATCACATATAGTAGTATCTATAAACATATTAAAAATCACATGATCTCGTCTATATCTTTATTTACCAACACTTTTATACAACCCCCAATGACCAATATTATATAGAATACGAGATGTCATAAATAGAAATGAATACGCATCGCAGATATTACGCATACTAAAATTGGTGAGGGGAGAGGGAGGGGTCGGGAAGCAGGATTTAAAACAAAACAAAAAATAATTTGCAGGGAAAGGGTAAACCCGACGTCGACCCCATTATATAAATAAATAAGAAGAAAACTACGTGCAAATAACATTTCCGCCGATTTCGAATGGGAAATCTATATGAACTCAGCCTGGGCCGGGAACAGATATATTTGTACGTCACATTAGGTGGGCTGGCAACATATATCCAACTAGAAGACCACCGGAAATTTAACCCTCTTTACTCCCACTTACACACGGAACGACTATGGCGGCTAGTCCAATAAGTGCTTTTAATCGAAAAAACTGAAGATTTGAATTGAAAAAAACGGTCTTGTATGATATAAATTGGTCACAGTAACGTGTGGTTGATATGACGTTGCGGGAAACAAGAAGCAAACAACGGTTATGCAAACGTGCGATTTTTGGAAACAGCGTCTGGACTCATTTGAGTGTCCGAGTCACTGTGACGGAAGATGGCTATAAAGAATATACAGGGGTGTATGCGCTTCACCAACAGAATGTTTGGGCGCAAGACAGTAAAAAATGTAAATTAATTTTGTTTTTTTTATTTGTGAGCTGGATTTCTTTTCAGGGTGAAATGTGTGTTATTTTTTTTAAATCTACGTGTAATTAAATTTTCCCGCGTTATTTTGGCAAAAATCTATCCCGAGTCATAATGGTTCATCGCTGATAGAATACATAACCACAGCGCGTATCTGTGCGATGCGAACATCAAAACGGTCAAAGAGGTAAGGGGTGTCACATGATTGTTATGGATGGCCGCGATTGGTCATGGATTGCCTACTTTAGCCCACATCATTCATAGACGACAGAGTTCATGTTCGTTTACTTGATAGAAAAAAGCTGATTATTTTCAATATTCTAATCAGGAGATACATGTACAGAATGAGTAAACAGGCGCGGATTGATCTTTGTTTTGCTGATGTTCAGAACACTCAAGGGGGTAAAGAGAGCGTCATTATTTTATCTTAATTTTTTCGGATCGAGATTGGTCACGGATTGTAAATTTCACTAAAAGTCAAAAAAGTGTCATTTACAATGGTACAATACTTGGAATTCGCTGCTATTAGCCTTGAAAAACATTACACGGGGAAATTAATTAAAAAAAAATAATTGTTCAGTTTAGAACATGTTTCACATCCTTTTTTTCTTGATCAGATAACCTACTTAAAATTTCTTGCACATGTATGATGTAACTTGTGTGATCCTTCGAGCGTAATTTTGCACGTCGAAAGTTTGGTTACATTGAAATCCCAATATGTCTGTTCAATATTTAATTGTGTTTCAGGTTGACAAAAATATTGTGCGAGAGATGCCGTAGCTAGAAATGAATTGACCTCGGAGATATTATAATAAAATTACTTTATTAAAGCGCTGTGGTCGTCGCGCAGTGCGTGTTCGAATTTCATGTAAATAAACAATGTATTTTACACGCGTTGTATACGTCGCCATGAGTCCCATATCGAACAGGACGCGACACGACGACTGCCGCCCTTTAACTTATATGAAACAGAGCACTGAACCTTTGAACTTGACTTTGCGAGCGTCGGCATCATAACCCCGCCGAGATTATCTCGTACCGCGACACACAAAGCACGACTCGGTCACGTGGTGCCATTCATCACCGGGACATAAGGTCACAAAAAGGTCGAGTTGACTCTGCCTTTTAACGGAGCTTCGTTTGGTGTCATTTCCCGTTTTACCTGTGTACAGTTCACTCCATGATCGTCTTTTCGCATCAGTATTAAGGTGAGCACTCCACAATATGGGTGATTCGTGTATGTAGTAATGTATTCGTGTTTGTTGGTGTATGGTTCAATACTGAATGTGCCCTAAGCGCACTGTCTCATTTGCTTTACTGTGCCAACCAAATGAATTACACACGATGCCATACTAAAAATAAAGCTAGTAGGTCACAGTCAGCCATTTAACGCCGATCACAATGACACGGAAAGCTAGTGCAGAGTATGCAAGGGAACACCTTTTCTAGTAACCGTGGTGTAGATTAGCTGCA